CACCAGCTCATTGGTTGGTCAAGAGACATGACTAAGCCTTTATGACATGGAAGTAGCTGGTATACCTTGGCATGTGCTGGAACCTGCTGGAAGGATTGGATGGTCAGGTGACCTGCTGTGCATGGCTGTGCATGACCTCATATGACCTCATCCTTGGTCATATGACCTGATCACCTGACTAGGCTGAGTAAGCAAGATGTTCTAGCAGGTTCCACCACAGAGGTATAAATATAAGGCCTACTCTGCCTGGGACTGTCTCTTCAGACTTGGTCTCTTAGGATCATCCACAGGTACCTATACTGTAGATAGGTCTTAGTCATCAGGTCTACTCCACTTCCTTGTTGCCTGCTTAGACTCTTGGCACTCTTAGGTGAGCAGACTTAGTCAGCCTGTGTTGCCCTAACAGTGTGTCAACAAGGACAACAGCCCAGTGTATTTGGCTACAACTGGGAAATATGGTGCCTGATAGGTCACCATGCTGAGGAAGCACTGCATTCCTTTGGTGTCCTTTGGGAACTTTGCATTCTGGATGATAGACATCTTGTTGTCATCTGCATAGATGCCTTCATCCCTTATCTTGTGTCTGAGACACTCGATACTGGGAGACAGCAAGTCAACCTTGTCCATGGATAAGTAAAGCTTCTCTTTTCTTAGGATATCAAAAACTATCCTAAGATTTGCAGTGGCTTCACTTAAAGTGGAGCCAATGACAAAGATGTCATCAAGGTAGCAAACTACCTTTTGCATCCAGTGCTCACATAGGATGTGCATCATCATGCATTGGAATGATGCAGGGAGATTCAATCCCCTTGTTGGCCAACTTTGGTTAACAAATGTTCCAAATGGTTTTGGAATGCAGTTTTCCAGACATTGTCTGGGTGCACTCGAAGCATTTCAAACACATTTCAAAGATCCAATTTAGATCTGAATGGGTGTTGGGCCACCCATCTATGGATCTCATCCTGATCCGGCATCAGTGTAATGTCCTTCACCATGTTTGAGTTTCTCTCTCAACAGTCAACAGACGTTCTAAGTCAACCATTCCATTTTGGAATACACAGCATGGGCAATGCTTGCTGTGTTTGGGTTGGTACCTACCAGTTGGCAGCAATGTACCACTGAGTCTTCTCATGAAGCTCATCCCTGAGTACCTCAGGGCAGGCAGGATGATGAGTCCTATACTGTTTTTTATCATCAATCAGGTTGATGTGATGATTGACCTCCCTCAAAGGAGGGAGCTGTTGTGGGATCTCACCCATGAGATCCTTAATATCATTGATAAGAGTCTGTCTTATCTTTTTTAACATTTCTTCCCCATAGGAAGATAGCATTTCCCTAGTACCCTTTGGGGCCAGGGGAGTGGATGCACATGCTGCAAGCACATGCTTGACCCCAATGTGGTCAGGGTGTTTGACTTCTCTTCTGGAAGCCAGCTTTGTCTTTGGGATGCTGTCCTGTATTCCTATGGATAATGCCTCTCCCGAGGCTATCCATTTTCCCATAAGGCCTCCAATACAGAGGCCTTTTCTACTGAGATCTAATAAGATCTCAAACTTCTTGCCAAAAGGCATACCAAGGATCACTTGGTATTTGTCAGTATTGACAACATCAAAGTAGTGTTCCACTACTCTGTCACCAATATCAATCTTGGCATTAATGCCATACTGAATCACAGTATGACTGCCCCTACTCATCTGTTGTAGGGCAACTGGATTATCCAGTTTGATGTATTCCAAGCCATGGGCTTGGACAAAGTCAGCAGAGATCATATCAATCTCCACACCACTGTCCAGCAGGGCAAATGCAGGGTGCCCAGTGATGCTAACATAACATTCAATGGGGGACAATGCAGTGCTGTCCCAAAGAGGTTGCTCTCTTCCTAGACAGACAGTGCTGTCCCTTTGCCAGATCTCTGGCTTGACATCCTTCACTGCTGCAAACTTAGTATGAGCAGATACTGCTCATACTACTGGTAAGCCAACAGGCTTAATTGACATAGCTCGCATGTTAGTGGGTATGATGTTCTCCACTGGGACATCTTCAACATCTTCAATGTTGGCAGACTTTTGCACTGAAGGATGATTGAACTCTTCATCCTCCATGTCATAGTTGCCTGTATCATCCTCAGGATGAAGATCACCAGGTTCATCATCTAGATGAGGTCCCATCAATATGGCATGTACACCATCATCCTTGAGGATGTATTCTAAACCCTCCATCATTTTGGGTGCTGTGAGATGCACACCTCTTCATTGAGGGCAGGTATTCACCCAATGACCAGACTTATTACAAATGTAACAAGTCAGGTCTCCTCCAGACTGGGGTTGTTTTGACTTATTGTTGACAGGACAAACATTGTCCCTCTTGA